GAAATCCCTGCATATGAGGGGAAAGAGAGGTGAAGATAAATAAAGAAATCTCATAAAAAAAATAAAATAAAATCAGAAAGGAGAGAAGATGAATATCATTCGCACAAGCAGGAATGGAGTACCAGGAACAAATCTTCTGGCTTCAACTCAAACCCTCTAGTTTCAAATCTTCAAATCTTTATTCACAAGTTCGTGGCTTCAAATCCTTCTCTCTGAGCAGATATTCACAACTGATCCACAGTTCTCTTGAAATCTCCACTCTCACATCCACAGTTCTCTTGAAATCGAACTCTATGCATGGGCTTCTCATACTTCTCAAATGATAAGTTAAATGGAGGAACAAAGATATGGCATCGAGATTCAAGGAAATGATGATTTTCAGTGAGAGATATTCGTCATTACATTTAACGAATCCCTCCTTTGGCGCAACATAGCTGTTTTGGCGGGACCCCTGTTTCACTGGTCGATTGGTTATTATTTTCTTATTGTTTTTTTCAAAATAATAATTGTGACCGGGTAAAATTGTTCATTGATGTTGCTGGGATTTACGGGCATTGCACGCGACAGCCGATTTATAGGAAATTTCTTGTAGTGTCCTGATCCGATGAGGAGATGATCCAAATCTGATTTGCATCAGATTTTTTCTTTTTTTAATTGATAAGATAATTGCTCTATACCTATATCCATTACCCACTTTCAATCCAAATCACTACCAATTAACTAATTGTATTAGGCCCATTTTTCTTTAAGGCTCACATTCCTAAATGCTGCATTTCCACTTTGGGCCTAATATTGTATGGCGTGGGACCCCACAAAGGTCTCATACAAGTTCATGAGGGTTTAACCCCACCTCTAAAAGAGATTAGGCCAAATCTAATCAACATGAGATCAATTTGGATCCAACATTTACATCTAAATGATCTTTAGATTCAGTCACTCTATGAAAACTCAAGGATAATGGACTTATGTGAGCAAAGCACATTATATATTCAACCCTGTAATAGTCTTTTATAGTTTACCTCTTGGCCTTAATAATTACAACACTATCCGACAGGGAAGGACCTCTCCCTGGTTGCAAGATGCAGTGTCACACTCTCTGATCGGATGGATTCCGAGACTAAAACTTTTATAAAACAATAATAGAATATATAAATATATTTTGCAAAACCATATTTCAAACATTGGCGAAATCCACTACCAACAGTTTATGTTTCCAATAGAGAGAGTGTAAATCCTAATATTCACTTTGTCTGAATAAGAGGCTAATCCTATCACTATGATCACCTACTCAGGTGATTTCCAAAAATACCCCAACATGCCTAGGTATTTGACCTTTGATGGATCTCACTGATTGGCATATCAAAGATAACTTAGTCCAACACCTAGTGTAATACCATAATCAAGTCTGGGGTAAAGTGTAACTTTCCAATTTTGTCTATCTATCTCCAAGGTCCAAGGCATAATTGGAAATTAGTCTAGGTTTGATATTTCTTCCAAACACCTATTGCCTATTCTTTGGGTCTAACCCTAACCGTTGAGTTAAGATGCTCAAACTATTTGATAGCACACTAGTCTCAGCTTTGTCAGAATAAACTCTCTAAGTCTATTTAATGGTTGAGAACATTCTAAATTAACATGAATGTCATAAGTGTGCAATTCATATACATCAGTCTGTTTGGAGCTAAAGGGAAGATTTATGCCTCTTAATCTTATACTTTTCATAGAGGGTGTCAAGATACTAATTGTTGAAGTTCATTTCATTGTTAGAAATGATCTCATGTGGTAATCCAAATCCATAAATTATATTATTCATAATTAACTCAGCCCCATGCTTCTGGGTGACATTCTTGTAAGATGTTGCTTCAACCCGCTTTGTGAAGTAGTTTATCATTACAAGGATGTATTCATGTTCATTAGATATCTTAGGAGTTATGCTACCAATGACATATGTAACTTCCCAAACGCACCCCACATGCACAATGTGGGAATAGAGATTCTTAGGGTCTTGGGACCAAGGTGCAATGTGGAAAGGGGTCAGGCACCCCACACACACCCAACTAAATTGGCGTCTACTTCACCAATGTTTCAAGGAAGATTATATAATTTTTTCGGCTAAAAAAGCAAAGCAACTATTTTATATATCAAGATAAAAGACTAGAAATAAGCAAAGAGAATAGCTAACTAACACATTCAAAGTATAACTCTAAAAATCAATGTCAGAATCGATTCTAGAAAGATTAGTAAGCTAAAGTAAGCATAACAATCATAAGATAAATGGGAAATTAAAAAAAAAAAGCTCTTAGATGATGGTAGCTGTGTTAGAAAGTGCAAATTGAAATGATTTAAACTGAAATGGTAAAACAAAAAAGTACAAATGCTAACTACATGGACTAAATAGTAGAAAAATGACTTGCAATGACTTCTAATTAGATGCACGAGTCAAACAATAAATTGAAATTCAAATGCATGTAGTTGTACTTTGAAATGGATGTTGAATCATTTTATTTGGAGTTTGAATGATGCGAAAGAGGTGTCCCTATGATTAAACTTATTCATGGGTCGGGCCGGGCCGGGCCGGGCTAGGCTCGGGCCAGGCCGGGCCAGGCTTTTACTCTTCATGAATAGAAATTTGTTAGGCCCGAGCCCGAAGCCCGACCTAATAAAAAGATTGGGATTTTTCTCTATTCAAATGGACACTATCTATTTTAATTCAGATGGTTTTTTTTCCCTATTCAAATGAGCAACGGGCCTATAAGATGGTTTTTTTCCCTTTCTTTTACATTTTAAAGCATAGTTTTACATTCTTAAATCAAAAAATCAATTCAAATGGGCATAATCCATTTTAATTTCATTCTTTTTTTCTTACAATCAAGTGAATCAACAACCTTCTTTAAGGTTGTTTAATATATTCCATATTGTTTGGTTGTTTCTATACAACCAAGGCAAACCTGAAATAAAATATATGATAATCCATTTTAATTCCTACAAAGAATCTAGTTTAGTTCCATGTTTTTCTTACAATCAAGTGAATCAACAACCTTCTTTAAGGTTGTTTAATATATTCCATGTTTGGTTGTTTCTATACAACTAAAGCAAGCCTAAAATAAAACATATGAGACAAGGAAAATCTGAAAATAAAACACATGAAACCAAATCATATAGGTTCATATTCTTACAAATAGCATGACATACTAAAACTAAATTCATATTTAACTTGAAATTCATGTTCCTCCAAAGTCATAAAAAAAGATCTGAATAAGACAAACAAATTCCATAAAACATGTTCTCCATCCATTTTTGAATTCACCAACAAGATGGAATATTCCAACTCTCAAGTTCCAAGCCATTCTAAAAAATAAAATAAAAGACCACTTCATTGTCCATATGGCCATATCAAACAAAACATGTTTTAGCCATCTCTATTCATTATTGAATTCACCAACAAGATTGAACATTCCAACCACCAAGTTCCAAGCCATTATACAAAAGAAAATAAGAAATAAATTTCATACCCATGTCACATATGTAATTTGTTATTATGTCAAATGACAAATAAATAACGGAAATATATGTTATTATAATACCTAAAACATATCATCAAGTTCAGCATTTTCATTATCATCATCACTGCTATTTGATCCTTCATCATCTTCTAACAAGCTTGATCATAAAGAAGCCCCTAACAAGCTTGATCCCCCTGCATACAATTGGAAAATCTATTAGAAAAAATTTAATAAATTATATATTTTAATAAACAATAAATAAAAAAATTACCTAATATAAGGTCTTGTGCAAGGAGCCAATCTTCAAGGCAAACCAAAAATTGAACTGTCTTGGATTTAAGTGAACTTCTCCAATGATTGATCACATTCTTTCCAATGCTAAATGCAGATTCGGATGCAACTGTGGAAATAGGAAAAGCCAAAATATCTCAAGCCATTGATGCCAATTCAGGATACGTAAGTGAACTCTTACTCCAATACTCCAAGACATCAACATCTGCCTTGATATCAAAGTTTTGTTCATCCAAGTAAAGGTCTAACTGAGTTTTTTCACTTTGAATATTTCTTTTTGAATTAAAAAATTGCTCATAATCCTTAAACCCATCACCATCATCATTTCTCTCACTCATGTCAAACTGACTAGAAGATCCAATAAAGGAGGTGGAGAAAAAATTTTCTTTGTATTCATCAAACAAATCATTGATAATTATAGCATTAACATGATTCTCGGCTTCATTCCCATAAAATTTATCAAAAAAATATTCCACTAACCTAATCTTGCAACGAGGATCCAACACAGCAGCACAAGACAAAATCATACTATATTCAATCCAATATTTATCAAATTTCTCCTTCATATTTCTAACCATGTCAGTCATAAAATTCTGAGATTCCTTACTCACTAACATTAAATGTCTATGAATCATCCACACTCCCTTGAAGTAAATGTTTGAAGTAGGGTATTTAGTGGCAGAAAACATGCCAGTAATATCATAAAAAACCTTTAAGAATTTGTGAAGCTTATCCACCTTTCCCCATTCTTCTTCTGAAAGCATAAATATTTTAAAAATATTATCCCTTTGCCCCCAATGTTGTAAGACTTGCTTATAATAAATGGCATGTTCAAGCATCAAATAAGTTGAATTTCATCTTACATACATATCTAATCTCAATCTTCTAGTTGTGTTTAAGTGAAAACTTTTTTCAGCAAGTTCATAAAATCTATGCTTCCGGGCAGCTGATTTCTTTATATTTCTCACACCATCACGAATCTTAGAAACAACATCATCAATAATGTTCAAATCAACTTGCACAATAAGATTCAAAATATAGCTACAACAATGAACTTTGAAAAAATCACCACTACACACCAAAGATTTATGTATTGAAGATCTCAATTTCAAAGAGTTAGTCATCACAT